CCTATCGAATGGGGAGAATCCATTACCCAGCTCACAGCGTTGTTAAGACGTTTCCGTGAATCTATTCAAACAAGCAAGCAGAGCCTAGAGCTACCCACGTTCACGGGACTGCCAGCCTCGGGCAGAAGTAGTTTAGTAGGAGCGAGAGCAACGCGTCTGCTTCTCAAAGCCTGGGAGCAACACCCGATCATAACGTCCAATCCCCGGGCGCTGGCCCTACATTTGCTGCACTCTCCTGCTCTGCTCAGTAATGGACTTTTGCAAGGAGACCAGACGTTTCACAGTATTTAGTAAGAGAAAGCAAGTGGGTCTGGGGAGCCTGGCTAGCGTGGCACCTGCCCACCACCTGCCTGCTGCCTGCCACCCACTCTGAGAAGCCTTCCATCACCTGGGCATCCCTGCCCCCATAGAGGAGAGGGTCAGCAACTGTTTTGCCTGTGAGATAATAAACACATCTTTATCCTTAGCACCTAGAGGAGAGGGAGTACTCAAAACCCATGGAATCCAAGGATGGCTGAAAAAACACTCTGCTGGGCAGCCTGGGAAGGACTGGACTAGACAACCTGGGGCGGGGGGTGTTCCTTNCTGGCCATGACCACGAGAGGAAACCCTGAGGCCAAACGGTCTGGGTGGGGCATGTCACCAGGATTCCACTATTGATTCTTCCGACCCACTAGCTCTTGGTGCCTATCGAATGGGGAGAATCCATTACCCAGCTCACAGCGTTGTTAAGACGTTTCCGTGAATCTATTCAAACAAGCAAGCAGAGCCTAGAGCTACCCACGTTCACAGGACTGCCAGCCTCGGGCAGAAGTAGTTTAGTAGGAGCGAGAGCAACGCGTCTGCTTCTCAAAGCCTGGGAGCAACACCCGATCATAACGTCCAATCCCCGGGCGCTGGCCCTACATTTGCTGCACTCTCCTGCTCTGCTCAGTAATGGACTTTTGCAAGGAGACCAGACGTTTCACAGTATTTAGTAAGAGAAAGCAAGTGGGTCTGGGGAGCCTGGCTAGCGTGGCACCTGCCCACCACCTGCCTGCTGCCTGCCACCCACTCTGAGAAGCCTTCCATCACCTGGGCATCCCTGCCCCCATAGAGGAGAGGGTCAGCAACTGTTTTGCCTGTGAGATAATAAACACATCTTTATCCTTAGCACCTAGAGGAGAGGGAGTACTCAAAACCCATGGAATCCAAGGATGGCTGAAAAAACACTCTGCTGGGCAGCCTGGGAAGGACTGGACTAGACAACCTGGGGCGGGGGGTGTTCCTTGGAGCTGCGCGATTCTGAGCCTGAAGCCCCCAGCTGGGAGGAGGGGAGGAGGCGCTGTGTCTTCCTACTTCCCATTTTACTTGCTTTGCTCCAACGCGATGAAGGTCATCCTTAAAAGTGACACATTCAGAAGGTCACCCAGGTGGGAAGCTCCCCGTGCCTAGACAGGCAAAACTGGTGCTGCACCTCCCCACAGGGTGACCTTTCATATAACGGGGTCATTGGTTTAGACTACCCCCCCTAACCTTTCCTCTCCAAAGATCACATCTAAGCCTCTGCCCTATTTTAGCTCCAGGCCAAGAAAGTGCAAACCAGGCCTGGGAGGCCAGGGCCAGCTGCAACGAATAAGACCCCTGCACTCGCGCGGACCAATCAGTGGAGACCAGGTTACTGGAAGGGGAAGCCCCGGAATAGCTGATGAATATTCTACTGAGATCCTCCCCTGGGACCTCCCCTAAAACTCCCGCCTTTGGAAAGCAGATAAAACCCCTCAACACAAAGGCAGCCAGCCCTGCCTCTCTTTGGAGCACACCCACACCTTATGTCAGGCGTGAACTTTCTATGTTCCGTCCCCTAAACTCCCACTGACCCCAGCTTTAATAAACGGCACCTGGACTCCTGTCCTGAAATCTTTCCTTCACCAAGACCCCACACAGTACCGGCTGGCCGGACGGTGACCTGCCCCATCTATCTCCCTCTGGTGACAGTGCTATTAATTCCACTCTAGGCAGCAGAAGCAGAGAAATTAAATAACTCTACAAAGATATCAGTAGAAAGCGGTAGAGCGAGCGGAAGTACGAGAGACCCGCAAACCTGGAATCCGGACCCGGCCCGCCCCCAACTCCACGCGGGAACCAGGCGCAAACCTGCCCTCCGCCGCTTCTGTCCCTCGACAGCGAGGAAGGCACCTGCGGGTCCCACGCCCAGGCAAGAGAGGAGGGGGTCCGGGGAAGGGGGTCGCACGCCCTCACCCGCTAAAAGGGGCTGAGACTCCCCGAGCCGCTCTCCAGACTCCCCCAGCGAAACAAGAGCTGCAGCTTCTCGCTCTCGGAGCGGAAGTGGCTCCGCCTGCCCGGCGCCGCCGGACTACACTTCCCAGAATGCCCCGCAGGGAGCAGGGACATCAGGCTGTCGCTTCAGAAACACACAAAAGATGGTTCGGTTCAGTCTGTTCTCAGGCACCATCGGAGCTTGACCACTTTTTTAAATCTTTTCCTTTTTCTTAATTTTTAAAAATCACAGCACTAATAAGTGTGACTGAAAAATAATTGTGGCTGTGTCCTGGCAGTGATCTCAGTGGTTAGAGCACCGTCCCACCCACAGAAGGTTCAAGGGTTTGATTCGGGTCAAGGGTTTGCTTCCGATCTAGGGCTGGTACCTGGATTGTACATTGGATCCCAGGCCGCGGTGGGGTGCGGGGGTACCTGGGTTGCGGGTGGGATTCCCACCCCCTGGCCTTGCAGGAGCCAAGCAATGGAAGGTTCCTTTTTCTCTCTTTCCCTCTTCTCCCCTGCCCTGATTCTACAAGTCAATGGGGAAAATAGCCTCGGGCGAGGATTAACAACAAACAAAAGCAGTAACTGGCTGAGGATCTCCAAGTCTGTTGGATTTTGCTTCTGTCTGCTGCTTTTAGTCTCCTTGCGCCTGCATGCGTCCAGGGCTCTGACAGTTTATCTCTCCTGAGCTATTCATTCCGAAATGCTGGACACACAAAACGGAAAAGTAACCTCTCATCCACCCACAGGACAAATACCCAGTTTCTCACTTTTCTTAATTTTATCACTTATTTATTTATTGTAATCTTTACCCCAGGATATTTTTCACATTGGTTTTCCAGAGAGAGTGGAAGGAAGTGGGGGAGAGAGAGATGTGAGAGATGTGAGACACACCGATTGGTTGCCTCCCACACTTGCCCTGACCAGGGTCAGGGTTCAAACTTACAACCAAGGTAACTGCCCTTGCATGTCTCACAAGGTATCCCAACGTTAAGTGGGACATGACTGTAACAGTAATACCTTATATTTATAGCAAACTTACTATAAAACAGGTTCTAGGCTAAGTATTTCTATATGACTTATTTAATCGTCACAGAATTCACAGAGAGTAAGAATCTTCTAGAGTGTTGTAGATGCTTTATTATCTATTATCATTATACTCACGAGGTAAGGTACTATCGCTATTCCTGTTTCACAGATGAGAAAAATGGGGATCAGCAAAGAATATCATTTGTTGAAGAAAATATATTGAAAAGATGCAGAGTCAGGACCGAACGTGGGCAGCCTGACTAACCATGCGGTAAGCACTCTGTACACTGCCGGCCAAATGACATCAGCGGGCCCACAGACCAGAGGAACCCAAAGGAAATGAAGTTAAATGTCAACCATATGCCATTTACAAAAATAAATTAGTAATATTAGAGATTTAAAAATTTTAATGTATACATTGAAAAAACACACTTAGGTATCTTTGTGACTAAGGTTAGGATGAGTAAAGCCTTTGAAACTAGCATTTTGTGACTAAATGCAACGAGGATGGACTATATTCAGCCAATACATCATTTCGTCCTCCCTTTTACTGAGGAGGGAGATGGTGTTTACTCTGATGCCTACGGTGGTATTTCTAGGGAGAAAAGAAAACTCAACCCACCGGAAACCTGGTCTCATCCTTGCTGAGCTGGGAAAGGGCTGAGGCTTGAGAAGGCAGAGCTGGAAGGAGGGAAGAAGCCGTGAGGCGGGGGTTGGGCTGGGGTTGTTGGTTGCCTGCCTGTGCTCTGGTATCTACCTGGGCCTCCTTTCACCTGATGCGATTCCTCAGCCACCTTTTTCTCTCTCCACACCCTTCATTAACTCTCACCTCTTTCCCCAGGTCTTAAGGTCAAAGTCTTCATGGTCTCCTCTCCCAAGTTCTGAGAGCAGTGGCCATTTTACTTACTTTCTGATCTTCCTAAGCCGGAAAAGCAGAAGATCCAGGCCTTCTTTGTTATTGAAACGCTCTAAGCTCTGAGGAGTGTCACACCCTCTGGATACCATTCATTCAGGGGACATCTACTGAGCAGCTGTAGGCAAAGACTCTGTTTTGAAGAGACTCACAGTCCCAAGAGCCAAGAATGTTGTAGATGGTTACGGACAGTCAGAGAACTGTTTGCAGGGAAGTCTCCTAGTGAGACACGGAGCCTCACAGAAGGATGCGGAGACCCCACAAACATATGGGATGTGTGTCCTGTGAAAGACAACTCGGAGTGTGAAAGCTTTAATAATGCAATACTGTGGGGGCTGCAAAAATAAAAAATAAACCACATCCCTGTCCTAAAGGATTCTAAAAATCATGATACAGTTTAGCAAATGTTTTCTAAATCTGAATTTATAACCTTTTTTGTTCCAGGCCTCCTTTGGCAGTCTGGTAATACTTACGGACTCCTACTCATAATAATGTTTTAAATGCATAAAACACACAGGATTACTTAAAAAACTAATTACACTGAAACACAACCTTCAAAACTATTAAAACACCAAGTATGTGCTTCTTTATTAACACATTAAATACCAAGAATGAATTAACTACTGTAATTTCAAAAAAATAAGTGTAAACAACGTTTTGAAAAATCTACATGAACTATGATATAAAAATATCTATGAGTTACTTGAAAAACAGTTACAGGTTCAGCTAATGCTATTGTGGTTTGTTGCGTACATTCAAAATGGAAGTGCAAATTTTTAGTTCAACTAGTATAAATTGGGACCTGCTGCATTATGTCCATTGAGTTCAAGTCCTCCTCTAAATGAAGCCTTCTCCTGCCACCATCTGACTCAATTAACCACTCTGGGACCCAGCAACACCTGGTTTAAATTGCTGGGTTTACCACCTTTCACATAGCCTGCCTGCCCTGTTAAAATCTCTAAATCAAGGAAATTGAGTCTTCTTTATCTTTCCCGTCTTGCACTGGCTTGGCACACCACACACAGTTAGCAAATTCCATCAGCAAGATGTGATGCACAGAGATGCTCTTGGCATCAGCTTGGAGTTAGCAGGTAGTGCAAAGAAAATGACCTTGAGCTGCCTCCAGCCTTGCCTGTTTTCTCTTGAGATCCAAGCCACAGAGCAAGTTCAGACAGATACACACACTTGACATCCACCCCAAGATCCTCCCTGGGTTCTACTGCTTCAGGAGCCCAAGTCTCCGCCTTTCCTCTTCCCATCTATCCCAGACCTGCATGAAAATAAATCAGCTGTGCAAAGATACGGGGTGATAAAGAGTACAGAGGGAAATGCAAGTGCAAAGGCTCTGATTTCTGGTTATAACATCTCCTGGCCAAGTGACACTTGCTAATTTCTTACTCTTTCTAAGGCTCTGTAATATGGGACTAAAAATATCAATGTTACTGAGCAAATTAAATATATTTACTCAATCAAATATTTATTGAGAGGCTACCATATGCCAGACACTGTTCCAGGTACTAAAGATACAGCAGTGAATGCCCTCAACATAATAACTGGCACATATAAGCACTTAATACATACCATTACAGTTACAGTAATCATTTCTTCCCTGAACCCGAAACGGCGGAGGCCTGAGCGATTTATTGACCGAATGAAACACCACTAGGAGCCAGGCAGAGAATACTCTAAACAAAGACACCGGGAAACTCCTCAACCTTAGCAGAAACCCATTTCGGGCGGGAAGGCAGCTACGGCTGAGGGGCCTGAGGGGACATCTGTCAAAACCACGGGATAAACAATGAGGCCAGGAGAGCAGGCCTCCGTTGGAAAGAGGGCTGGCACCGCCATAAAACAAGAAACCAGAGATCCCAGGGATCTCTAAGAGGAAAAACAGGAAATATAATTAAGGTGCTAAAAAAAAAAAAAAAGGTCCAGAGGGCAGCTACCGAGAAAGAATTCAAGATATTATCAATCCGCGCTGCCTGAAATGAAGTCTCCGAAACCGAGAGACGCCCGTTTCAAAGCCGGAGCCGCCAGCCTGGAGCTGTCCCTTCCCGCCCGAGCCCCA